ATGGCTGCGGAAAGGCTCGGTGCTCCACTCGGTGGGCAGCAAGGTTGGGGTTCTGTTTACAGGGCCGTTGGGTGATCAAAGGCGCATGTGCTGTGGAGGAAAGAACTCGATACCTTGTGGGACACACAGCTATCAAATAAAATCAAAACACGCCAGAGAGTTCACGTGACTATTATTTCCTTTAATAATGCAAAGGTGTAAACCTCACGAAGGCCTGGCTGATTATCTGCACAACAACGTTAGCATTCTTATTAGTAGACAAACGTGATCCAGACCAGCTGTATAGGTTTTCCCAAAGTGAGCAGAGACCCCGTGGGCCTGGAGGTGGGGAGTGAGGATGCAGGGAGGGAGGGGGCACTGTCTTAGGGGTTCCTGGTGGGGCTGGGCCAGGGCCACTGCCGACCAAAATTCAGTGTCCACTGGGAGTGGCGTGTCCTCACGCTGTCTCCAAAAGGGCATCTCATTACAAACCGCGGCCTGTCTGAATGCGGCCACTGCGGCCTGCCTGGTGGGGGTGCCTGAGGGGACAGGGCTGAGTCAGGCTCCCCTCCATTTGGGCTAGACCTTCAAAGAGTTCCTTCAGAAACACTGACACTGTCCCTCCCATGAGGGTGGGACTGGGACCTGGGATCCTGAGGAGGGTGCTCTTGAATGACTTTTGCCCAGGGTGACATAGAGGGTGTGCTGGGGGTCAGAGGACAGTGACTGCTCACCTGCACCAGGACTGAGCTTGCCCATCCTAGCCCTCCCTGCAGCTCTTGCTAACTGACCTGGGATTCCCACTCCAGGCCCAGAGGCACCACCTGCCTCTCCTCAGTGCTTGGCCATGTGCCCAAGAACCACACGGCTCTTGCTGCACTGGGTGAGGCGGCAGGAGCCCCAGAGGGAGAGGACTGAATTGTGGCTGGAGACAGGGGGGCTGGGGGGGGGGGCAGGAGGCACTACCCTGCCTGAGCTGTTTGGGTAGCATTTGGTCTCGGGTGTCTGCACTTGAGCCTCAAAACTGTGAAGGCTAGGGATGGGAAGCTCTATCCCCCAAACCGTGGGATCACTTAGATTCCCAAAGGGAAATCCAACAGAACTGAAAATTAAAGAGACCAAAAGGAACAAAAAGCACACTTCCTGTGGAGATGCTCAGAGAAGAGACATGTAGAATGATATGTGATCACAATGGAGGGAGGGAGTTTTATTCAGCAGACGTTCCATCCCAAATACGTAGTGATGTCACTAAGCAGGACTCACCCCAAGTTTGTGTGTGGGACTTTCACACATACACCCCTACTTCCTCTCCTGGCCACGTGGGGGAGGCATACTCCCCAACAGCAGGGAGGAGCAGCTGGCTTTCACCAGCTTTAAAAATGTCACTAGAGCCACCAACCAATAGGGGTTTGGTGCATTCGGGAAGTATGACAGACTGACTGAGCCCCAATTTAGCAACAGTCCAGGCTGGGCAGCCTAGGAGTGGCCTGTGCCCTCCCTGCCGCTCTGTGAGCATGAAGCGCCAGAGTGCAAGGTTCATGCCTGGCTCACAGTGGATGCTTCCAATCTGGGAGGCTGACTTATTGATAACGTGGCTCACAGTGGAACCACAACCTCCAAGACATGAGGCTCTGTGCTGACCTGCAGCTGTGCAGCAGGCATCCGCCCTCCTGAGAGACACGTGTCTCACAGAGCTGGCAGTGTTGGGCCTTGCTCACAGAGCCAGCAGAGAGCCAGGGACACACTGTAAGCAGGACAAGCAGGATGGGGCCAGACCTAGACCATGGGGAGATCAGGCTGCAGGACCACAACGCTTTCCAGAATGTTTGATCAGCCCCAGTAAATACTTAACACATCTAATTTTGCTGCACGGTCACAGGGTGACTTAATTTGCCGTCATGTCATCAAAATGCTCAGGTGAATCACAGTGGTCCGGCTGCTGTATATGGGCACTGAAATGCACGCAAAGACAACTAGTATTGAGGGGCCGAGGAGCAGCGTGGGGTTAGAATGGGGGCACATGGGGTTTTTAACAAGTGGATGCAAGCTTTGGGGGCACTCAGAAACCCCTCTCTGCTACATCATTTTCAGGTGAGAACAAAAAAAATGCAACAAGCAGCAGAACAGATGTGCAGCCATGTCTCTGTAAACCTAGCACGATGCCTTTGAAACACTGTGTAAATAGAAGCACTCCCAAATACGTTGTGCTGCCACTAACAGGGGAGCCTTCCTTATGAAGTGGCACAAAAATATATGAAATGGCACAGCGCCTGGAGGTCCAGCTTTCTCCAGTCGCAAACTTTCCTCTTCCACAGAGCACGTGGGGCCACGGTCATTCTTCCAAAGGGGGCACTGATCATTCTCATAGGAACTGGGCTTTTAAGCAAATTTAGCTTTTCTTTGTGTGTTCTTACGTTCCTAACAGAGCAAAAGAAGAGTCACCGCAGATAAAAGCAAGGAGGCAAAGGTGTAGGACGCGGAGCAGCCTCCCAGGGTCGCTGCGTGCGTGCGTCCCCAGAGAGAATGAGGTCGTTTAAAAACAAAGGTGGCAGTGGGGGTGTCCCAGTGATGTCCAAGGTGGTATGTGTGACGACAGACACAGGAAGGGGAAGGGGAGGAGAAAAGAGAAGGTAGAGACAGAAACAGAGGGGGAAAAAAATAGATAAAAAGAACAAAATTAGGTCAAATATAGAAAACACAAGAATCAAAGGTTAATTCAACGTTAGTCAATTAAACGTCAGAGGTTAGAGGAGAGTCCAGTGCGGCTTGTTACCACTAGGCCAGCTCCCAAGCTCAGCAGGGCCAGAAGCAGCACAGCAGGGCGAGCTCGGGGTTAGGGGTCAGCGAGCGCATGAAATTAAAGTGAGAGAACGGAAGCCTCCAGTAAGACACTGGTTTTGATTAGGAGAGTGTTACCTTTGACTGCGGTGAGGTCTCTTAGCTACAGCCAAGGAGCCTACCCAGGGCCTTCCTGCCGCTAGAGCTTGGCACACATAGTGGGAGAGATGCGTTTGATCACTGCAGTATGCGTAGCAAACTGAGCAGAGGCCAGGGGGCCGCCTTTTCAACCACAAATTGAATTCTTCTTCCTATTGCATGACACTCCCCCCCCCCCCAGCCACAGTGCTGTTAAAGAAAACCTCGCTCTGTGCCCCTTACCTGCTACCACTTGCTGACCACAGAATTCCACCTCCCACCCAGCGCACAGCAACCTCCTCTGAGATGGTAATGAGAGCCCCGAGTGTGGTGAGCAGCCCCTCTCCCCCTGCTCCGCGCTCTCTCTGAGTTAATGGGGTTCCTGGACGATTAACAAGGACTCTGGCATCTCCAGCCGACAGGACCCTGGAGGACAAGGTCTTCCCAGAACTTCTGGACCTGACACACCCTGGAAACTGCTGCTGTGGGTCGTGCCCAGGATGTGAACACAGCAAAGCTGGGCCCCCTGCTTATGGGATCTTATCACTGGAAACAAATGCCACCAGAAACAGGCTCAGTGCAAGAGGGTTACTCAAGCCTCTCACTCTCTCAGCTCCTAAATGTCCCATAAAGGCCGAGCAGATCAGGACACTCACACCAGACTACCCATTTCAAGAAAACAACTCACCAAAGAATGCGAAGAAAAAAAGGCAGAGAATGGCAAAGCCATCCCCATTCGGGCACCCTGGTAAGCAGTAGTGAGAACATTTCTTGCAGCCAAACCCAGGTACCCCGCCTTTGACACTGACCATGTGGCCAGTGTGTGGAGGCAGGCTCACCCCAGCATGGGTTAAGGTGTCTCCCTGACAACAGAGAGGGTAAGACCAACTGATGCTTCTGATCTATGGCTTAAGATCCACCTGCCAACTCATGGAGGCCCCCACATGTCTGTCAGACACACACATTCATGTACAACCAACCATTGGGAGCCACAGACTGACTTCATTTTGTTGCTGCTTGAATAACTCACTTTCACACACACACACACACACACACACACACACACACACACAGCTCTGTTGTAGGCAACCCAACCCACATTCTTTCTGGCCTCGCTTCCATTGGGAGAAGATACCTGGGACCTTAGCTGAGAGCCCGGAGAAGCACTCTAAGAGCACAAGCATGATGGCGGCCAGACGTAGACCACGGGGAGATCAGAACATGTTGCTACCATACTTGAGCATGGCAGAGAGGGCATTGGGCCTCTCCGACAGGCTGCAGCCGAGTGCACTCTGCCCACCTCTCCTGCCTGTGGATGGCATTTGGCTGGTATGGAAAAGCAGAGATGTTGTTGAAGATCTCTGCTCAGAGGGATTTGGTCAATGAGGAGACTGGCCACCAGCAGCAAGGGAGCTGGGCCGAAAAGCAGAACTCTCACTTTATTCCCACATGGAGTCGGTCCTGCATCCCTAGAGACGGACCTGCATCTTCTACTGCTCCCATCATGATCTCTAGCAGGCCGAATCATCTCTCATGTATGGGATTTTCTAGTATCTATTGTCTCCACTTGCTCTGGTTCAAGTGGTTCAATTTAATCAATTGCAAGGCCCTTGGCAGATTGAATTTTTAATGAACTAGGCACCAGGTCTTCCTTCTCTTGGGAGGTCCCCAAAGAGAAGAGATTTCGACCGTGACTGTGCAGGTAAGCAAGCATCAGATAGAAAGCGCTTAAACAGAGTTCATCCTCATATGAAATGGCAGATGGCAGAGAAGGTCTCACAAAGGAACCTTGCTCAGCTTCCAAGGCTTGGCAGGAGCCGGGGCCTTTCCCACCTGAGGGCTCCCCAAGGACTAGCTCAGCAACAGCCCTTCAAGGCCAAGTGACATAGGGCCTTTGCCCAGGACGCTTGGCCGAGCCTTTCCAGGAGTCCAGTACATCTGAACCCACTGCACAGGTAGGTACAAAGCAAAACTCAGCGCAGCATGGGACCGATCATGAGGATGGCTGTAAGCAAGCACATTGTGAGGGCTGTCCAGGTGCATTAGGAGGGGCAGCACTGCATTAATTCCAAGCGGGGGACTCACGGGAAGCAGAGTGCGCGTACCTGGGATGGCTGTGGGCTGCGCCGAGGTCCTGAACACGAAATGAGCCGCCTTGGACTTCCCCTGCTGGTTCTCGGCCACCACGTAGACCTCATACTCAGCATTCCAGTCCAGGGACTTGAGCATGATGTGGTCACTGCCGGACGGGAGCCTGATCTCTGGTTTCCACTCGGAGGAGAGCTTCTGGGAGACACCGGCAGGAAGGACACAAGACACCAGGCAGCATTAGGCGAGAACCCCGGTGAGACCAGATCACAGAAGAACTTCGGCACATCAATAACGATTGGTGCAAAATAATGAAAATAAGAACCAACGGTAGAATGTGGTGTTTATTCTTTACCAGCCTGGCAGACCCTAAGGATTACACACAGGGGGTCAACCTTACATGTTCGCAAACACAAACAGCGGCAGCTGCTAGTGGGACCTGTGTCTCAGGTGTAAATTCCACTCAGATGCCCACAGGAAGGTGCATTCAGCTCAGCAGAGCACCGCACAGGGCAAAGCCTGCAGTTGACAGTAGAGGTCCCTTCCTCCTTGAAAGCTCAGTTATATCCCTCACTGCACCAGTGAGCTTTTTCTTTCTTTTGTTTTCTTTTCTCTCTCTCTCTCTCTCTCTCTCTCTCTCTCTCTCTCTCTCTCTCTCTCTTTCTTTTTTTTTTTTTTTTTTTTTAAATATTTCTTTATTGATTTCAGGAGGAAGGATAGAAACATTAATGATGAGAGAGAATCATTAATCAGCTGCCTCTCACACGAGCCCCCCCCCCCCCCTACTGTGCCCTTGGCCAGAATCGAACCCAGGACCCTTCAGTTCACAAGCCAATGCTCTTATCCACTGAGCGAAGCCAGCTAGGGCAGTGAGCTTGTTCTGAATGGGAGTTTATTAAGCCACACACCCCCTCGGCAGGTGACTACCTCCCTAACACAACAGGGAGGCTGGCAGAACTTTTCAGATGGTTTCACCGTTGCTCACTCAGCCTATCTCCTCGGACTTTGAAGAAGTGTAGGCTGGGCTCACAAGAGCATTTGGCAAATGTTTACTAAGTGACAGGCTGTTCCTTAGAAGAGCAGAATGTGCTCTAGTCACCTGGGCAGTGGTGTGGCCATGGCTGAGCTGCAGGGAAACTTAGCTTACAGCACAGCCATCTTCCCAGGCAGAAGGACTGGCACCAGCCAGAGACCCGCCTTCAGGAAGGGGCCGTGGCCACCACTATTGTGGGGAGATGACAGAGGGAGTGCTGGTTTCTTTAGTGTCTAACCTGGAAGTGGAGGTGCTGTAGGTTAGCTTGTGCCTATGCCACTGTATGAGCCCTTTTTAATTGAAAACAAAGAAATTCAACTGTCTTTTCCCTTATTTCTCTGGAAAGCTCCTTTCATTGGCTAACATCATTACCAAAGAGACAACCAGTATGTAAAGCAAGGATTTAATAAAGCAATCATGATGTTTTATAATACATGTTAATATGTATTAATGATATTTAGCAAACAGTAAGTTCTTAGAGAATGGTCAAGGTTGTTGAAACCTGACACATCTCAGTGTTTCGCCCCAGCTGTCTTTTCAGCTCAAACCTGCCTGGCACAGCCACAGTGATTCTTCTGGAAAAGTGAGATCTGAGGAGGCCTCCAAGGGAGGCACTTCCCGCCCCAGCCGGCATCTTAGCAGTAATGACTGTATTTACCAGGCACGGAAGTTTCCAAGTGCCAGTCACATTTCCAGTCCTTTGCATATATTATAACTAATCTCTATAACAACCCGATAAGCGATTTAGTTCCCATTTTACAAAAAGAGAAACGGAAGTTTGGGGAGACTGGATGATGTATTTGGGTCACATGCTGGCAAGGGGTAAAGCTGGACCTGACTCCATGTGTGTCCGGCCACATCAGGATAACAACAGCTGGAGGCGTCCCCTCAGCCCTGTCCACTTCCAGTGCTGCCAGGCGTCAGCCCGGCATCTGCTTCTTCTCCAGGACTCTGTGAGACCTAACCAGGTGGGGGTTCACATCCCACCTCCACAGGGCTGACCAAAAAGCAGAAGGAGTAAGTCATCTTCCTGGAAAAAGCCTTTCTTGGGGGCTATCTGAAGAAAGGCAACTGCTCTGTGGCTCCGTGTTTCCTTCCAGGAAGAGACCCTAGCAATAGACTATCCCCAGTGCTCACACATTGCCTCAGCAATTGGCCATGGTTGGCAATGGCCAAGTGTCATTCTTAAACCAAAACAGGAGAGAGATTCTAAATTGGGGGTTGGGGATGAAAGGTGCAATGATAGAAATTTTAGACGGGTTCTGAGCCAACCAGGAAGAAAAGGCTTAGGGCCACGCTCATAGCAGGATTAGAACAGCTCAGTGGGGGAAGAGCTGGCGAGGGAGCTAGCCAGTTGCGTCCATCAGATAGATCTGGGTCTCAACCCTGGCTGGCCCTGCTGTGAGAGCCCAGGCTCTTCCCGACTGCACAGCCCTCGCTGCCTCTGCCACATGGTGATCCTTGGAGGACCTATTTCATAGGTTCCCATGGCGAGGAAATGCATGTAATCACAGCACCTGGCCCATGAGGTAGCAATGCTTAGGCAGCAGTATGTTATTTGCAAAAATCACAGGGTAATGGCAGAATAACTTTGTACAAAAATTCAAGAAGCAGCAGGAAAACCAGTCATGGTATGAGCTTGTCACCACCACAGCCATTTTGGAGGTTTTGAAATGGTCCCAGGGTGGACATGAACTAACAGTTGTAGGTCAGTCTTGAGATTTGAAACCCTGATTAGGGCCCAACAAACAAGGGATGGTCCAGTCCGCCTGGTAAGGGACAAAGCTAGACCTGCAGCCCGTGTCTGTCCAGTCACATCAGGCTCTACCTGTTGTTGCCCCACCAAGGTGTGTGCCAGGGTCTCGGGGCAGGGCTGAGCCCTGGGAAGGGGCACTCACCGTTCGGTACTTGACCAGGTAGTGTCTGATGGGGGAGCCGCCGTCGTCCTGCTTGATCAGGTTCACCTTGATGGAGTTGCCATCCTCTCCCATCTGCCCTTCGAGCTTAGGAGCGCTGGGTTCCCCTGAAACAGCCAGTTGGTTCATGTGACATTTTCCTCCACAGAATGAAACCCATCCATCAGAAAGGGATGCACTGGTGGGGTGGGACTGGGCTCTTTTATTTTCTCAGAAATTCAAATGGTTAAAAAGCTGAAAACGTAAAACTTTGGATTCCAGTTAGATGCCTCAGACTTAGCCCAAAAGTAGGCCCTTTGGGGATGTTCTGGGCAGCTCGCTCGCTCCCTGGAGGTACAGCCCATCACGCTCCAGAGCGGGGCCTTTGTTCCTGTCTCCCCCTGGAGCCTGCTTTCCTTTTCGCTGCTATGCTTTTACAACTGAAGACTTAACTTTTATAAACCTGGTATTTTGGGAAATGGCCCGAAATATGGAAAAACGAGAGCATTTAAGGTGAAAGCTCACATGCATAAAATAATTTTTTAAAGCAGCCTAGTTTCTTCTCTGGATATCTAAGTAATAATATTAAAAACAATTTAAGTTCCTGGCTGTGATTAAACAAAGCACGATTTGCCAAGGCAAGTTTCTTTTTCTTTCTTTCTTTCTTTCTTTTTTTTTTTTTTTTTTTTTTTTTTTAAATTTCTTTATTGATTAAGGTATCACATATTTGTCCTCAACTCCCCATTCCAATCATAAGGTTCTTATAGGTCCTGCATTTATGGCTCAGCTGATTGAGATAATCCTCAACACCTTGTCTTAAGTAACAATCATGAAGCCCCTGTCTTTGTGAGGAGAGGGAGAGAACACGTGTTTAGTAGTTTTCAGCAGAAAAAGGTCCCTGTGTGCCTTTATTTGCAGCTTGTGCTCAGCGGACAGCCTGCATCCAAGGCTGAGAAGGAAGATGTGCTGTGTGACAGGCTGTTTGGGCGGGGGCGGGGGAAGGGGTGCTCATCAGTGAGTGAGGCACTGATTTACTGTAGGATAAACTATTTCATTAGTATACGCTGAAAGCAATGAGGTGAGAAATGTCTGATATGGGAAGTAAAAATGAAGACTTTGCACACTTGGAAGTGCTGCACTTCCTGCATGAGCCGTCTCTGAGTTGGTTTCATGGCCTCACATGGAACGTTTGGGAGGGCCCAGAAAACCTTCAGCGTGGGCTGCCTGGGCTTGTACTCTGGATTACAGAACCACAGAGATGTAACAAGAACCAGGAAAAGCTTGTCAATAGGGTTGGGACCTGAGCAGCCCAAAGTGCACCTTTGGTAAGGCCCGTCCAGCCCACTGTCCTGGGTTAGTTACTCTGGGAACCTCAAAACGGCCCTATGTCCTGCTCTTCTTTAAGACAAAGAAAAAGAGGACAGAAAGCTCAGGAGAGCTGTGGTACTCAACCTGGGCCTTCTGTGAGCATCAGCTGGGAGCTCCTTAGAAGTGCAGACTATTATTTTAGCAGGATCCCACATAATCCGTGTGCACACGTAGGCTTGGGATGTGCTAGCAAAGGGCACACATAAACGCTGCAACAGTGAAGATGCATAACCTTAATGCTGTGCAACCAAGTATCTGTGCTTGATGTGTGTGTGTGTGTGTGTGTGTGTGTGTGTGTGTGTGTGTTTTAGCTAGTAATTAAGAAAAAATAAAGAAGATAAAGGGGCTTCAGGCAAAAACCTGTCCTATTTCTAAGCCATTATGTAGTCACAGGCCCCAACAATTCAGTGGAGAAAATTTAGAAGTTGAGTTTCAGTAATGTCAAGGCATGTATGCTTTTCACATTCTTTTGGCCCGTTCTAAGTTTTAGTAATCCAGTTAGGTCTTATATCACCACGAATGCCCAGTGCTAAGAGGAAGTGCCAGGGAGTACAGGGCAGTAGGCCAGCTCTGTGTCACTCCCCAGTGCTGAAGGATGCATGGAGGAGATGCAGGGAAACTTTACAACGCTATGCTCTGGCTAGTTAGGGAGACCAACCCACCCAGGATGGCCTGGGATTCTCCAGGGGTTATCACACCAAGTCAGGTTCTGGAGAAACTGTTAGTCCCAGGCAAACCAGTGGCTTGGTGACCAGGGACTGGATGGATATGGACACTATCATTATAATTTTCTGTACCCAGAAACATAATGTGGGCTCTGCGGTGAGTGGCCTGTTTGCCTTCAGGAGGAGGGAAGGAGGCAGCATCAGCAGCCCTTGCAACACACCCATTGGGTAGGGACCCAGCCCTTCCCCAGGCGCAGTGGAAGGGAAATAGAGATTAAATTATTATTATTTCCTCTCAGAATTGAGCAGGGTGAGCTCCCAAGGCTGAACTGATTCCGCCAAACATGGAATTCTACTTTGGGGAATATCTACTTATTTATGTGCTTTCTCTGATGTCTGTGAGATCCCTTTAAACTGAATGCTAAGGAGGCCACAGGAGAGCCTGGGGGGCTGCCGCCTTGGATGGGTCTACACATTTGAAAATACAGGCCCTGGACAGGATGCTCTGAATCTGACATCACTGTGCCACACCACGGCCACTGCCCCAGATGGACTGTAAGATGACCACAGCTATTTCCATGACACTGCAAAAGACAGATTTTGAAATATAGGATATGTATCCATTTTTAAGAAATGCACCCCCAAATCAATAATCCTATATTTTTAAGGCACAGATGGTCCTTTAAATTTTTTAAAGTTATCTCAAAAAAGTCTTATTTTTTAAAAGAGAACCTAAGTCTCTTCAAAGACATATGAATAAAAATCTCACCAACGAATCTCTGTAGAAACTAACAGCCCTGATGAAGGCACTCTCCTCTCCTGTATAATAAAAGGGTAATATGCAAAACGACCCAAGGGCAGACCAACCAGTTGCTCTGACACACATTGACCACCAGGAGGCAGACTCTCAAAGCAGGAGCTGCCCCCTGGTGGTCAATGCACTCTCACAGGGGGAGAACCACTCAGCCACAAGCCAGGCTAATGAGGCTGATGACTGGAGAGCGAGGTGGTGGTGGCAAGAGTTTCTCCTGCCTCTGCAGCAGCACTAAGGATGTCCAACTGAGGGCATAGGCCCTGGGGGAGAGGGGGGCCCTCAGGCCTAAGCCATCAGTTGGACATCTCCTCAGGGCTCCAGGATTGCTAAAAGATGCAGGCTGGGCTGAGGAGACCCCCATATCTCCAAGTGCACAGATGTCGTGCACTGGCCTTTAGTCTTTATTAGGTTCACAGGGAAACCACTATACTATATCACAATTAGAACATGGTTGTAACATTTACCAGTTAGAACACTATAGCTTGCTAGCATTTTATCTGAGTGACAATCATGATACTCTGATATGTGTGTACTACTTTTCCACATAACTTAGAGCATTTTATATCATATAATATTCAGGTGTGTCATCTAGAGTGCTTTATATATGAGTTATTCAACATATGTATATTGAGTACCTACTAGGTACCACGTAAGCTTTTGGAGTTTCAAAGGGGAATAAGACAAATGAAAAAAAACTGAGCTATAATCAATTTAAAAAAAATGCTGGGGCCCAAGTATAAAAACATAAACCTTACTATGACAGTATTTCTAAAGGAAGTGCATATTCAACCTATGATGTTACTTATCCTAGGCCCCTCAAGATCTGGAAAGAGCAGTAAGTGTATAATGAATTGTCTCATACATCTCCAAATGTTTACTGTCAGTCATTTTTTTACAGGTTAGATAAGGAGTAAAGAAACGATTTCCTGAACTCTCTGCAAAAAGAAGCCTCCAGCCAGCCAAGGAAGAAGGGGAGCTGAGGCTAAAGGAGTGGGCGTGGCATTCAGGAGGCTCCCCGCTTTGGAGAACACATTAGGAGAGGAAATTATTTAGAGGGCCCCACGTGCACTCTGAGCTGTGGTGGCTGCTTTGATTGAAACCATTATGGGTAATTTCAGCAAAACCAATATCGTAATTATTTGTAAATGTTGGTTTGCAGTTCAGCAGCAAGAGGCAGGTTGCTCCAAGAAAACCCCTGGGGTTAATTATACCCTCTGAGTGTAGCTTCAGCCATGAGTCTTATTTCCCCCCCAAATATTTTCTGTAAAGATTAAAACAGCAGTACCTTAAAAATGAACCTTGCCAATAACAAATATGAGACGTCAAGCAGTTCTGGTATTTTGTAGAAGAATGTGAATCGTGCGTGTAAGAAAATAAAAGAGAATGCACCATGGAGACCACCAGTAGTCAGAAATGTTACATACAGGTCCTACGAATTCCTCTTATAAACCGTAATTGAAATGCGTATTTCTGGCCTTGCAGATGGTTGGTTCTTCTTTGTAATTATGGTGCTACTGTGTCCTGAACCTGGAGTCAGCTTCGTCCTTCCCCTCCTCAGCAGAAGCTGTGGGGTCAGATCCCTGCTGCGGGGTGTCTGCCTTCCACAGCAGGAATGAGAGCAAGCCTTGGCAGTGAGACAGCGTTTGTCAAGTTTGGAAGGAAAACAGTCTACTGCTTCTCACTCCAAAAAGCCCAACACCAGGAGCTGGATCTTCTGAATGAAAGGCTAAGGCACCCCTGAGAAAGGATGGGTCAACCTGGCATCTCTCTTCACCCACTCTGCATTCTCTCCCCCAACACTCGCAGGCTTGGACATCTGAGATAAACCAATGGTGGGTGCAGGGGTTGTGTGAGAACCCTTCTCTTTGTCTACCATGTAAGATTGACTAGCATTAAAATTATTGTTTCTTTTGTTTATCTTAACTCCTGCTCCCACTCGTGTATCCCTTTTCATGGTTTCAAAAGCCCAAAATGTATGCTTTAGCTGTTTAAATATGAAGCCTATTCGATTTTTCCAATTCAGGAACATTCACAATTTCATCAAGAGGTTAGACGTTGGACTGGTCCTTAGGGAATCGGCAAATTCCTTAAGGGAATCAGGACTGAGAGCTATTAGAACCCTAAGTCTCCCTCCCGAGACCCAACATCTTGCCCTAGACGCCAAACAAGCCAGTCTAACGTGCTCTGTGCAGCATGCATTCTGGGACCCTCGAACTGTGCCCAGTGTTCGGAGGAAGAATGCTTAGCGCCCTGTGCCTGAGCTCCCGGAGGCTTCTGGCTT